ATGAATCATATGTATGAGAGCAAATCGTTGTGGTTATTCTCCATCAATCGCTTTCTTAGATGCTTAAGAATAGAGAGTGAGTTGTTTTTTGCTCAATACAATTAAAGGTGTACTCTGTCCTTTCAAGAAATGCAAGAGGCAGTGTGATGCTGAAAAGCTGGCTTTGAACCACCAGATAAGAGGCTTTAATGGTCATATGTAGTGCTGCCCTAATGCCACATTATTTCTCAAGAACAGGTATAACTGCTGCTCCAGCCAGCTGAAACACTTAGTAGCAAATTTAGCCATTCTGAAGAAATTAACTAAACATATTTTATATATTATTGCATCGTAAAGCCTCAGCTCAGAAGTTTTCTTATTTGATGCCCACTTGTGTGCAATAAAAAATATGCTAAGTGTACACAGAAAGCTATAACATTTTAGATGTAAGCATATGTTACCAGTGTTTAGCATAATCATCGAATCACAGAATGCCTTGGGTTGGAAGGGTCCTTACAGATCACCTAGTTCCAACCCACTGCTGCAGACAGAGCTGCCGCTCACCAGATCAGGCTGTCTAAGGGCAGCTGAGCACCTTTAAGTTGAACACGTTAGTTAGAAGCATTTTACCTGTTTAGAAGAACACTTTTGCATTATTGTTGCTCTGTAATGCAAAATGGTTCACATATTTCATGGCTAAAAGTTAGATTTTAGAGCAGTGGGAGATCTGCAGAAAATTGCCTGGGAACTTCGGGATACATGAACTGCCACTGCTCAGTAAGCAGCCACACCGAGAGAATACAAAATTCATTTGTGTCTGCTCTCTATGCACTTACTTTTGGCTTTCGAATACACCTGACTCTCACAATGCCTGCACAGAAGCTTAAGTACTTCTTAAGTACAGCCATGCCCATGCTGTTTGCATGACACCTATGGTTACAAAGCAGGGGGTCCAGCTCAGGGGTGAGCAAAATGTGACCTTCATCTATCTCTTTTGGATAGGATCTATCCAAAGAGCCACTGAAGGAACTGGGACTATTTAGCCTGGGGAAAAGGAGGCTGAGGGGAAACCTTATTGCTCTCTTCCAATACCTGAAAGGTGCTTACAGCAAGAGCGGGGCTGGTCTCTTCTCACTGGTGACAGGATGAGGGGAAATGGCCTCAAGTTGCACCAGGTAAGGTTAGGTTGGATATGGGGAAACACTTCTGTACAGAAAGGGTTGTTAAGCACTGGAATAGGCTCCCCAGGGAGGTGGGTGAGTCACCATCCCTGGATGTGTTTAAAATCCGTTTGGATGTGGTGCTCAGGAACATGATTTAGCAGAGGGTTGTTGGAGTCAAGGTAGTATGGTGAGGTTGTGGTTGGACTCGATGATCTTGAAGGTCTTTTCCAACCTGCACAATTTTGTGATTCTATGATCTGTCAATCTGCCCAGGTCTGAGCATCAGAGCTAAGCAGTGCTCAGGGTAACCCTTTTCCCACATTGCCTCCGCTCGCAGCACAGCCCCACCCATCCTTCACCTGAGCCTTGTTCACGTTTCACATCCACGGCAAACCGTCTGTGAGCACTACTCTCATCTAAAAGTGCTGCACAAACCTCTAACCCAAAGTAGCTCTTACTCAAGAAATCTTACCGTATAAAAATCAAACTGCGTCCTCACAGATGCACGAGAGAGCTTTGCCGTTCCCAGCAGAGCCCCCAGAGTACACGGCGGAGCAACCCGTGCGAAGACGGGTCCGGGCAGCAACGCGCGGGCGCCCCCTCGCGGTCATCTTCCAGCGGCGCACAAGTAGCTGGGTGGAGCCGCGCTGCCCCCCGGCGGCGCGGGGAGAGAACGGCGCTGGGGCGACCCGGGCCGGGCGGGGCTGGAGCACTGCCGCGCGTTAAACACGCGTGTAGCAAACCTGCTGCCTGTCGGGCAAATCCTGTCAGGCACTTTTTCTGTTTTTGTTATGCGTGAGGCTCCGAGGAGCTGCGAGAGCTCGGGACGGGGCACGGCTCCCATAGCGGCAGGGAGACCCAAAGCAGGAGTTCCTAAGGCTCGTTCGTCAGGTTATGGAGAGAGAACACTGTTCTCACAACGTTACCTGTATGGAGATGTGAATACTTGGTGACAGAAAGCAACTCGCTGTAAGAAATCTGATATTTAAACACTCCCAGGCAATAATATAGGGGAAAAGCTCCTGTCGCTTTGTGCTGCCTCTTCCAGCTGTTTTTGGGCTCTGACAGGGATCATTCACAACTCTGTATCCACCCGTGAAGCTTGCTGTAAGGATCCTGTTTTAGCACAGGGGTTGGACTCAATGATCTCCAGAGGTCCCCTCCAATCCCTGACAGTTCTGTGATGCTGTGGTCACCAAGGAAAGAGGAGGGGACCAAAGTGTGGCTCTGCACCCCAGAACATCCACACATCATTGCCTAAGAACAGCATCAAGCCACAAATGGAGGATTTGAACCCCAGGGGGCATCCTGCAGGGCAGGGAGCTGCTCATCCCCTCCTGCCTTCAGCGGTGGGATCCATTCCTTGGAGGTTTTTGATAGATCTAAAAAGACAGATGGTACAGTGAGCTGCAGGGCTACCTGAAGGAGGGACATCGCCTCACTGAAGTATTATTTCCAAGTACAGCCATGGTGGTGATGCAGTGGCACAGGCTGCCCAGGGGAGTGGTGCAGTCACCATCCCTGGAGGTGTTCCAGAACCGTGTGGATGTAGCACTGAGGGTCATAGTCAGTGGGCATGGTGGGGATGGGCTGACGGTTGGACTGGGTGATCTTTTCCAATCTTAATGATTCAATGATTCTGTGATATTTATCACAGGTAATGCAAAATGCTGAGTGCACCTCAGGTACCCTAGAGGAGTCAGGACTGTGCTGTAGCCATGGTACCCAGCCCATCATCATAAAATCATATAACCATAGAGTGGCCTGGGTTGAAAAGGACCACAATGATCATCTGGTTTCAACCCCCTGCTATGTGCAGGGTCGCCAACCACCAGACCAGGCTGCCCAGAGCCACATCCAGCGTGGCTTTGAATGCCTTCAGGGATGGGGCATCCACAGCCTCCTTGGGCAACCTGTTCCAGTGCATCACCATCCTCTGTGCTTATATTGCTTGGACAGCTCAACATTCAGATAACCCAAATCACACCTCCTACCCACACCACACGTGTGCCTGGTGTCGCACTTCCTGCAGAGCCCCCTGCACAAAGCAGTGGAGCAGTGAACCCCTCCTTGCCCCGTTCAGCCACCACTACATCCTCGCATGCATCCTGAAACCCAACCCAACGGTGCCTTAACACTGGTGCTGTCAACAGGCCTAGAACGGCGTAGCCCAGGTGCACTGCCTACAGAAGACGACTACGCTCACGGTGCCCATCCACACGCCCATAAACCCGCATCCAGGTGTGTGCGGGCGGACGAGGAGTCCCGCCCTGCCCACGCCTTCACTGTCCGCAGCCCCGGGCCGTGCCGGGCCGTGCCGAGACCCCCGGGGTCGGGCGCGCCCCGTGCACCCACCGCGCTCCCGCTGCCGGGCTGCGCGCGGGGGCGGCGCGGGCGCGGCGCTGCGGCGGGGC